CCCCCTCATTATGTAGAATACAGTGCCGCTTGGGGTGGATCGATCTCACCCCCCCCCCTCCTTTTCTTCTTACGCCAGTGTAACTAAATCTTCATTTCCAGATGCTCAACTTGTTTTGATAGAGTTTCTCTAGGAGTCCTTAAAAATAATCCTGATAAGTCACAGAGAGAACAAGAGTAAAAGTGGATTCTGTACTCAATGAAGTTACGATTGATGTGTACAAAATAAACTCTAAAATTGTTTTTGGGGTCAAGAATTAGATCCTCTGGATCTATTTGATCAAATTCTTTTTTTTTATTTTAGATCGATATCTTTATTTTATTATATGTAATTGTCCTTTCTTTTTGTGTCTTGAAGCTACATACTAAACTAATGTGTTGCAAACTAAATTGCAAATTAAACTAATTTGTTGCAAACTAAACGAATGTGTTGTAAACTAAACGAACGTGTTGCAAATTAAACGAATGTGTTGCAAACTAAATGTGCTGCATTGCTACAAACTAAACTAATGTGTTGCAGCGCTATTAGACCAAGGTTTTGTATACTGCTAATGGGCTGCAGTGCATCAATCTGCTGCATTGCCATTAGTCTAATGCAGTTCTATAGTCTAATGTGCTGCAGTTCTATAGTCTAGTGTGCTGGAGTTATATAGTCTAATGTGCTGCAGTTCTATAGGCTAATGTGCTGCAGTGCTTCGTAGCTAATGTTCTGCAGACCTGATGTGCCACTACAAACATGTGCTGCAATGCTAACAGACTAATATCTAGTTAGGCTAACAGTCTCATTTGCTGCAGTGCTAATAGACTCATGTGATGCAGGGCTGACAGACTAATAATGGTATTATTACAACAATACGAATGTAGGCATGTTTACAAGACTAATGTAGGCATGTGCTGTGGTGGTACTAAAACGAGAATAATTTAGGCATGTGCTATGGTAGTACTAGAACAAGACTAATGTAGGAGACTAAAGTAGGCACTGCTATGGTAGAACTGCAACAAGACTAATGTAGGTATGTGCTGCGGTAGTACTAGAATAAGACTAATTTAGGCATGTGATGTGGCAGTACCACAAGATTAATGTGCTTAAAGCGCTATTAGACCAATGAGTGATGTGCTGTGTTAGTATGTTACTACAAGACTAATTATGTAGGCATCTGCTATGGTAGTACTACAACAAGACTACTGTAGGCATGTGCTATGGTAGCACTGCAACAAGACTACTGTAGGCATCTGCTATGGTAGTACTACAACAAGACTACTGTAGGCATGTGCTATGGTAGCACTGCAACAAGACTACTGAAGGCATGTGCTATGGTAGCACTGCCACAAGACTATTGTAAATGTAGGCAGTGATCATCAAGTAAGCAGTGCACTACAAGATTTAAGTACAAAAAGATTTGTAATGTGTTGTACAAAAGACTTTATTAGAAAACCCATGCGTGACATAAGTCCTGTTTCATAAAATATGTTTTTTAAGGAAACAAGTTATCAAAAAAAAACTATACAACTCTTTGCTTTGACTCACAGAAATATGTGTAGAATTTCTTAGAAATCTTATAACCTGTACTAATGTCTTGTTACCGGTACTGCCAACAATGTTCTTCTCTCTAAGTATTTGATCAAACGTAGATACACTTTTAATGTTTTACGACAGGGGTCTCCAAACTACGGCCGCGGGCCACATGCGGCCCGCGAGGTCCTCTCATGCGGCCCGCGGAGACCTTTTAGTCTACGGAAAAAAATTACGGAAATGTACGTGTATCCTGCCAAGATCAGACGCCGCTTACGTGGACGTTATGTTTTTTACCGAATTAAAATAGAGGCGCGCAGTAGTGCGTTATGTTTTCTAACCGATCGTTGCTTTATAAAACCTTATTTGCTGTTTAGTTTTTCTACTTTCGTTCACAGTCAATGAGATGATATAACGCCATCTAGTGGCGGAGCTTTGCCCGCCGTGTTGCAGACATGGGTGAAAACATAAATTTGACTCAAATAGCGAAAAATGCAAGCAAGTTTCACCAATTTTTAATTGCAATGGGTGAATCGCTGGACAGCTGTTCCACCTCTCAACTGCTTGCGTTCGTTAAGGGATGTGTGGATGAAGATATGAACATAGCACAAGAGCTGGCTTCCCAAATAGTATGTACCGAACTGCTACCGATGAGTTGAAAAAAACAATTTCTGATTTTAACTTGGACTGGACTAACCTCAGTTGCCTGACTGTTGACTGAAGAAATAACATGAGTGGCATAAAAAGGCTTGGTTGGACAAGTGAAGCAGATCTGTAATGAAAAAAAAAATTCTAAAACAATGTTCCTGCGCTGTATTATTCACCAGAAAGCTTTGTGTGCTAAATATGTAGATATTAGCAATGTACTGAAACCTATGGTGAAGACGGTTAATTTAATAAGGTCACATAGACTCAAACAGAGATCTGTTGAAAGATACAGACACAGAATCGCAAGATTTATCATATTACACAGCAATAAGATGGCTAAGTTGTGAGAAAGTTCTGAGCAGAGTATTTAAGTTAAGAAAGAAATAGGTGACTTCCTGGAAAGTAAAGGCAAGTCACAGGCATTACTGTCTCATGAAAAGTGGGTATGGAAAATGGCCTTTGCTGCAGACATAACTAAACTGGTCATTTAAATTTTCTGAACCTAAAACTACAAGGAGAGGAAAATCTAGTTTCTGATCTATACACCCACCTAAAGGCCTTCAGATTTAAATTCGTCTATGTTTTTTGGAACAAGTACAGCCAACAACTTTACACAATTCCAGCAGTGCAAGGTCTTCATGGCTGAAGCAACTGCGGAGTTCCCAACATCATTTGCATAGGAGATCAGCAAAGACCTCCAACTGCAGTGTCAGAAGCAGTTTGTTTACTTGGATTTAAAGGCCGAAGAAGTGAGACTGTTTCAAAACCAATTTGAAGCAGATGTGGCCAGTCGCCCAGATAAACTGCACCTGGAAATCATTGAGTTGCAAGCAAATGACCTCCTTAGGGACAAGTTCAAAGAAGGACTGTTTGGTTTTACGAGTTTTTGCCCAAGGAAGACATTCTATTAAAACTTTGCATCAAGGTACCTGTGGGAACAAACATTTTCAAGAACGAAATACGTGAAGAACAATATGACAACAAATTTGTTGGATGATAATCTCAGGTCACTGTTGATGTTAGGGACATCACATCTAAATCCAGAAATGTCTGCTAATCACTGCTATTTTGGCATCCAGGTAACAATTTCACCATTCTTACTAATACAGGTGTTCATGTGTCGTGTATCAATGTGTTAATAAAAAAAATCTGAATGAAATAATATTACATAAATAATTAAAAGCAACATCCATGTTTTGATTCATTTTTATTTGGACCTCGAGTGTGTAGTCGGCCCCCGAACTGCTGTTTGATAGTTAATGCAGCCCTTGGGCTGAAAAGTTTGGAGACCCCTGTTTTACGACAAAGAAAGATTTTCCAAAAGATTTTCTTCAGTCAAATATATTTTTAATATTGCGGTTTCATTTAAAAAAATTAGGTCCCCTAGGAATAAAATATGTTACCAAAGAAATAATCATAATTAATAAAAACACAAGAATGCAGTAAATTATGTTTATGGTCCATTTCATTATTTATTCTACATATAATTATAATGAATAGGTGACAACATATCACTGCCCTTTTTTTTTTTTTTTTACATATAATGAACAGGTCACAATACATCATTGTACTAGCAGTTAAGTTTAACTTAAATAAGACTTTTACTATAAACAAAGACATCTTAACTGACAACTGCAAGACCAGCTCATTAATTTATTCCATTGATTGCTTAGACCAGGGATTTTCAACCTCTTCACTCAATAAAGTATATAGAAAATTATTCATCAATGTCAGTGAGGAGCAGAATCCAAGTAAAATATTTCACATTTATCTTAATTGGATTATAGTACAGTTGCCTTATTCTCAGCATGAAATATGTCACAAAAAATTATTTAGCTTCTGTTTTTGTCTTAAATATCCTAATCTTGTGGATACACTGGTTGAAAAGTGCCACTTTAGGGACTTAAAATATAACCTTAGCTCTCAGTTTTACTATTGCCTAGACCTTAGGACTGTCGTCTTGCATGTTTTTGGCTTCAATACTAAATGGGTTTCTAAGGTGTGTATCGGGGTGGGCGGCACAGGATGAAGAATTGTGAAAACTTGGTTCACATCAGCATTAATTCCATTGCTGACAACCAATAAAATACATCATAAAATACCAGTTATTATAATGCATAGTTTGTTTTATTTACATTTGCAAATGTAAAAATGATGAGAAAATAAAACAACATTGCTACTGACATTTATATGATACTATAATATAGAGACCCAGCTGTAAATCTAATGTACTATTTAATAAATACTTTTTCTAAACCACAATAAAGAAGGGAGATTGGACTTGCCAAAAGCTTAATCAGATTAAAAGACTCTTGATCATCTGAGATGATTTACTATTTTTAGACCATTCCTTTTATCCTACTGCTAGAATACAGTGACAGTTTGTGTCTTTTCATCTCCTTAATCATGACAAGTGCACCAAGACTACTTGAAAAGTACACCAGAACTACATGACAAGTATTACAGTACACCAAGACAAGTATACAAGAAATACATGACTATTACAAAAGAACTACACAAAAGTATACCAGAAGTAGACAAATCCATAAATGCCTAGATCATACAGTTAAGTCCAGCCGCAAACACTACTAAACACTAGAGCCAAACTTAATGAGAGCACAAATAGGTCAAAGCAGGCACCATATTGAGGACATAAACCACAATTGTGTCACCCACAATAATTGTATTGAGCTGAGTCCCGGCCAGCTGTGAGGAGCTGAGTCAACATGGCATTATTTTATTGATTCAGTAATAAAAACATCCAGATGAGTTACCTGAAAATTGGTCTAGATCAATCTGGCACACATAGATCAATCTGATACACTGCTTAACAAAAACGTATACAGACAGCTAACTGGTTATTTAACTAAACACTTGTCTAGATCAATCCAGCACACATATTCTGATATACTGCTTAATAAAAAAAAGTACACATTGAGCTAACTGGTTATTTAATTCCACACTGCTTGAGATTAATCTAACGCTCACTTTGTGATTCATAAAATAATCTGAATTGAACAAATATGAACCACACCTATAATAGTAACAAAAGCTGTTCTATTCAAATGTTACAAGGGTGAACTGTTTAAATCAAAAATAAACTACCCCGGAAATCAAAGATTCTTATATAAATCCTTTAGATGCATTTTATATTATTTTATATAAATATTCAGTTGTCCCATTCGCTATTACTACCGCAGATTTATATCTCCAACTATTTCAGAAAAACAAAAGAAGATATTACACGCAAAAAACACTTTTTTTAAAACAAGAATCTCATTTAGCGCATTTCATGAAATTAGTGGCATCGCGTTTTCTTCATCTTCCCTTGCAAAATAGGAAAACTGATTTTTGGGGGATAGGGTTGGGAGGTGGGGCTGAAAATTTGATTGAATGTGTTGTCATCAACATCGAGTCTGTGTGCCAAGTGTCAGCTCAATAGGCTGACAGGAAGTGCGAAATTAACCCTTTCATTACTGCTGGTTTTGGCATCGATTTTAGCTGACTCATAAATAAAAAACTTTAAGAAGAAGAAATTTTCGGTATTTTTCATTCTCTTTCCAATTGGCTTTTTAACTTATCTACAGATGAACGAATAAAGAAATAATAAAAAACATAGTATTGAAGTATGACGCCGACGTGACTTCCTTGGTATTTCAGAAAAGTTCTTTGCCCCATGTCATGACGACAATGTGACGCCCTTGGTAACTGAAAGTGGATGATCGTGACGTTACGTGACGTCACGTCAACGTCATCGGTAGCGAAGAGGTTAATACAGAGGATTTAAAAATTAATGAATTTATTACTTAATGAATAAATAAATAATGTTGGGGATCTGAATGATCCTCAGACTCATCTTGGACAACACAACTTGTTTCAAAGGCATTCTCAAACCCAAAACAAATGAAATTCATTTTCAGACTAATTGTATGTTATAAATTTGGGTAATTTTGATAAAACTTTTTACAGCTTCATGCTTAAAAAAGTAAACAATCAGGTATATAAGTATTTACACTTGTATATATAAACAGTTTGATCTCCTTTACAGCAATTCTAATTAAAATTCATGAAATCAAACTGACTGTCAGCATTCTAATAATAATTTCATGTTATTGGCAATGCTCTATTCTTTTCTTATTAAAGACAGTTAAAAATACGGACTGGAAGTCTGTATAAATAAAAAAACATCAACATTTTTTAACAGATTTTTAAAAAAATAATTTTTTTAACTAAGAGCATCTTGATTTACACTCTTGCAGTACACATATGAATATAAATGTACAATTTAAATATCACAATTTTTTTTGCACATTTTTTGGTTGATGTCTTTAGAAAGAATTCTACAATTATAGCTAGAAATTCTAAATTGAATGTCACAATCATCAACTGTTATTTACATCAGTAACATTTGTTTTTTTGTTTTTTTAAAAATACACGTTCCAGATTTAAGAGTTCAATAAATACTATTATACATCTGCAGCTAGGGAAACCCAACTCCATCTTGTGAAATATACACACTACATTCACTCACTGTCAAAATGAATACCTGTAATCAAGATGTGAAATGAGCGATCAAAATGAGAAATGAATGATCAAGATGAGAAATGATCCTAAAACGCACCATTGATACTGCCCTCTAACCGCATGCCTTTCATCTTGTTTATTTCTCCTTGGAGTGCTAAGTTGCGCCTTGCCAGGTTTTCCGTATGCTGCCTGAGATATCGGATCATATCTGCCTGTTTCTCCATTACTTGGTCTATATAATTTTCATTTCTGGCAAAGACAGTAGAAATTATGTGAATACTATTTATTCAAATGTGCCAATACAATAAGTGAAGGAAATGGCAGGGCAAGGTATGTGCAAGCTTGAAATAAAAACTTAAAAGATAAGACAACAAAAGTGTAACGTTTCAAGCTTACACAGACCTTGTCCTATTTCCTTCGCACAGCTTGAACCAGTCCTTCTTTAATTATCATAAACGAGCACAAATTTTTCAGTTGACAATAGCAGAATATTTCCAAATACATCAATTTTATTTTTATGGGGCATTGGAATGAAAGTAATGTAGTTCAGTATCAGCTACAAAATAGATGAACCTCGGTTTTGCAATAAATGTCTTTTAATACCAATTTAATTAAAGGTTATATACAAATATGAGTTTTCAGAGGACATATGGCATGACAGAGCTTAAATCAAGCCTCTATCAAGATTTTAAAGCCTATTTTTTACAAGTATGTTTTAACATAAGGACAGCTGAGTAAGCAGGACTACCTTGCAGTATTTTAGCTTAGTCAATACAGGCAAAGATCTTATCAGGAACTATTTTATTAGGTTTTAACAGTTATTTGTCAGCCAGCCAATTTTACTATGCAATTCTACTAAGCTAATTCTACAATGCTTTCTACTATGCTGATTCTAAAATGCTATTCTAAGACAATTTTCTCCCTGTGATACATTTTATAATAGAATAGGACTATTAACAGACAAATTTAGATTTAAAAAAATATAATTTTATAATTGTGTCATTTTATTTGCTTGCTAGTCATATTTTCCCCAGGAACCAAGGGCATCAAAGTGGCACCCAACAGTACATCCCATGTCTTGCCCCACCTTCTTTATGCGACTGGGTTAAAAAAAATACTTTCCTACCTGTACCCAACATCTGCTGATGAATGTGAATTAACAAAGCTGGTCATCAACTCCTCCTGTGTCACATCTGGTAACGCTTTCTTTTGGTTAAATCTCACAGTGTGAACTAGAGCAAGGATCAAATAAAGTACAAATGTAACGGAGTCAGTGACACCTTGGGCTCTTGGTTCTATAACTTTTCCCATCGAATGACATTACAAAACAACTAAGGTATATTACAATTTAGTATAAGAAATGAAGACGAAGTTCTCTTCCATTAACATTGTGCTTGAAACTGGGTCAAACTTAGAAATGTTGTGATTTTTACAAATCCTTTTAAACCTAACAAATCCAAAATGTCATCAGGCTAATTCCAAGGCAAAAAAATAATCAGAAAAGATAAAATTTATTTGGGAGATAATTATATGAAATATATTGAATTGCATTTATAAATGGTTGTTTTATTTTGTTGTATTGCATTTTCCCCCAACTCTTTGGTTGTTAGAATTCTTAATTGTACAACAATGATGAAGTACTTAAATTAAGCCACTTAAAATAAAAGATTACTCCTTGCCTAAGCAATATGAAAAAAAAAATTTAACATTGGCTTTACTTTGGCTTCTCTTAATATTGTATCATGCGGCAAGACTTTAATTTTTAGAATAGAGCTCTTCGTCTATGTGTGATGCTTTTTTGAATTTAGCTAACATAATGAAAAAATGCATTAAATTTTTTTGCCAACCTTCACAGTTGATTAAAAACTTAAAAACTTAATAAATTTTTATCTGGAAACATGAAATACATTTCACAAAGCTACCTACCTAAATAGACAATGAGAACAATAATGGCAATGGCACACTCAGCACTAACTAATATCTGGATGTATGTTGTTGTCTTGAGAAATTTACACTGTACTTTTCCGCAGTGTTGATCTAACACCTTCAGGACGATCACACCGATGGCATTGGCTGGAAAGACACAAAAGTAATACAAGAAATTGTCAATTTAAAATTTTGTAATTTTTCCAGATGAAAATCAGGTTAATTAGATGACAAGAATATATTTACAATCAAACGATGAATACCAAATGTGAAAATGTTTGGTAAAACTAAGGGTCCAGATTCTCTATGTTTGGTAAAACTAAGGGTCCAGATTCTCTATGTTTGGTAAAACTAAGGGTCCAGATTCTCTATGTTTGGTAAAACTAAGGGTCCAGATTCTCTACTGTAATGCTGATAGAAATCTTGGCTTACCACAAGAGTTTATCATGAAGGGCACTCGGCGGATGTTCCGTGTTTTTCTATAGAAATCCAGGTATCCATTCATCCTGCTTTCATTGTGCTTTGCTAGTAAGTATCTATCCAGAAAAAATAAAACAAACCACATTCCTCCATGAATGTACATGGTCAAGGAAATGGAATCTTCTCCACATTGGTTCGAATCACAGAATAACGGCACCAAATATGCTGAGACACAAAGGGCAACCTGAAATATCAAATTCAACTTTTAGTTTGCAAATGTCAAGAGAAAATTAATCTAAGAGGATAGATCTCTGTGGTGTATGTTATTTCTTTTTTACTCTTTATCCTTTGCACCCAAAGATGATCAAGGCAATATTCGACTTGAGAAGTAGTCTTGACTTGAGCTTGTCTTGTTCCAGTGGCAAGACTAAGTCCAATCGACTGGAATTTGGAAATATACCAGGATGCAGTAAATGACCAGAAGTTTGTCTTGTGTGTTTCAATGTGCTCTTTATGAGTTCTATGTCGCAGGAGTTGTAAGAATTTTTATAGTGTCAATGTCATACAGCCTACTGGACACCATCTCTAGGTTGGATTTCAGAGTTTGCCTTCTGTTAGATGAGTTGCCATCCAAGGTTAATGAGTCCCATACACCTAGGGTGCTGGTGATGTTTTATTTTTGCTTTTGATGGGGATTGAATGAGTCCATTAGCTTGGGATTGATTCAGTTTAGACCACTCAACGACCCAGCACACTATGGTGTATGTAATCCATAAAAAATTGGTAAAATTGCCCATAAAATGAAGACTACAGAATAAAATATGCTGGCAATAATGGCTTAAACTTTTACATATATGTAATAACTCAAAGTATAAAAGCAAGAACTAATAATTAAATTACTCACATAAAGGATCTTGGCTAAAATGATGGCCCATGCAGTTCTAATTGGTTTGTGAGACATTTCTGGGCTGGCAACCAGCTCAATGTGGTCAATGATAAGGTCATCGTCTGCTGTGTTGGTGGAGTAAAGAGTTGGACGGTCATCAGAGAAGCCAAAATATCCCTGCAGATCAGTTAAACAAATTGGTTGATTAGCCCAGCGTTGAGATTAACCTTTTTTTCTTTCTTGAAATATGTGTGCCATTTTAACATTTTTACCAGTAACAGAAAATAGAAAACTGTCTGTTACTGATAAAATAATAACATTCCATTGTTATTTCTTACTTCTTACTACTTCAATGTCTCCTATTTAAAGCCTTTACATGGTTTGTCTTCCAATTTCCAGGATACATGTGCCTAATTTCCCATGTACCATATTTTTATGTATTACATGTGTCAGGGCACCAAAACCCCCATATAGTAGATGACTGTTTAAGTTTACTGCTATTCCTATGAGCACATTATTATTATTCTTCATTAAAAAAATCCTGCATATTTCATTATTGTTGGTTAATAAGTAGGGAGTGTCAAAAGTTGAGCATGGATTTCCAAGTCCTTAGTATTTAAGTTAGAAGATGAAACAGTGGACAAGATGGATGCAGACCTCTTTGTAATTAATGTAGCAAGTGATATTGATGTTTTTAGGGTGAAAGAGGACTGAATAATAATTAAAAAGTAGCACAAGTACATTTTTAAGCTACTGGATTCTGTCTGCACACAATTTTAGTGAACAAGTGGAAGTGTACCCATGTTTTCAGACATTTTATATGAAGGGTTTTTTTAAAGCATAGACCCTTAATAACATTGTTTCTTATCATGACTATTTCATTTACCAGTATTTTTATACTGAGGACAAAGTTAAACAATGACTTGTTATATTTTGCTATTTTTAATTTTAAAAAGGAAAAAACAAACTGTAGCCATTGTTTCCAAATGGATTCATACCAATTTGTTTAGACTTGGTAAATACATTTTTACTTTGTTATTTACATCCATTCAAATAAGACCTTATTTACTGCCAATAAACAAGATGTCAGGCGCATAGCAATTTTATTGATTGTGTCTTTCAAATTTGCATGAAGACTCCCTATTTGCAAATTAATGAGTATCTGCAAATTAACCTTCCCTTCAATTATTCTCAGTTGTGGGTTTGCTTATATACTGCGCAATGAAAGTATATACATGTCTGGTAAATTTATGCTATCAGTTTACCAGTCTTGTACACTTCATTTTTTTTTTGACACAGATACCACCTTTGTTGCAGACTTGTCAAAAAAGAAAAAGTAATGCACAATGAGGAGTAAAAATGGGGAGGGGAAAATGTGTGTTTTCACTACCAATAATTACTGAAACAAATGAAAATAAGGACAATAATTAGAATGGGTTACTTTTTTTAAACAAAAAATGTTTTTAAAAAGACATTTTTAAAATTTTGCATTGCATAAAAATGCTATTAAAAACCATTTAGTAATTAATTGAAAAATTAACAAATTTTAAATGAAAAAAAACATTAAAAATAACCATAAAGCATTCAAATTTGATTAAATAATTATTTTTCGATAAAAATTCAACCCTAAAATCGATGACTCTAACCAGCCAGAACACTGAATGTACCTGTCATGAAAATAATGTGAAAGTCTGTCTTGTAAATTTTAAAACCCAAAATCTATAACTATACCAAATATACCTAACCTAAGCCCTCAAACCAGACATTCCAGTGCTGTAGTTTAGCACTCTATTGAGAAAAGCATAAAAGTGTATAAAAAGATTAAAATTATTTTTAAAATATTCAATACCCGGTATGTTAAAAAACCAACTTATACTTTTAGGAAATAAACTTTTAAACACTGTTTTACAGGTTGCACCATAAATTAAACCCAATACATATAAAATAAATTGAAAATCCACTCCATGCCAGCAAAAACGAGAAGGACAATGTTTTTTTCAATACCGGTACTACAGATATTAATTAAACTTAAATATGTATTTAAAAAATTCATCAATCAAAACTTTCCATCGGCGTGTTAATTTATACAAAATTAATAGTGAACTCTAGTAACAGTATGGGACTAAACAAAAGTGTGTCATTCATCCACAGAAACTTGGCGTGGCATCGTAAAGCCGAAATTGACAAAATTATTTATTTTATTAAATATTTCAATACTTTTTTTAGATTTAGCTGTATTCTGATGACAATGGTGTATTGTCTGTGAACTGCAGAAATAGGAAGTGTTGAATTTATTGTTCCTATGCTGTGTGTTGCAACAATGAATGACATTTTGAGTCCTCGTAGATAGTCCCAGGGCTCAACTTTCCCCACCCAGTAACTTCATATTTTAAAAAAAAAACATATTGTCCATATTAATATTAACCTCCCCACTAGAGAAGTAGAGTGTGGTATTGGTATAGTATATTTTATTACTAATAACTTATACTTATAATTTATAACTATTACTTTTACCAGTACCATGATCATGAACAATGATGAACCAACCAGTGTATGCCCATTACATAATGATAATGTTGTCAAAAGACTATGGCATGATAGACAATGATAATGGACTATAGGCCCATGCCTACAAATAACTATAACTATTTTAATTAAAAACATTGCCATTAGTATTAGCCTTGTTAAAATTAAAATCTTAGAATGAGACATCTGGAGTATGGCCTACTTTTACCAAATTACTAAACAAAAATAAAGGTTAAAATTTATTAGTAGTGAATTAGTTGTGTTGATAAGTGACTATTACAGAATTTTAGTTAACTTAGAAGTAAGTATAGTATAGTATACTACTGTATAGTAAGTATAAAAATGTATAATAACTACTGTATAGTAAGTACATAAAAAGTTAATAAAAAGAAGATTTTCACGACTCGTGAGTCGTGTCGTCGTCGAATGAACTTACTCCAGCATGAGTGTTTTGACTTGACAAACTGACCATTTTGGAAAGTATATATCTCCCAGGAAGCTTATAATGAATTATAATGGAAAATAAAGCGCGTGACTTTTATCAGTTATCCCCTGGTCATTATCAACGAGGGTTTGTCTTGTTCATAGTTACGTCGTTATCTCTTTCTTTCTGGCCATTGTAAACAGAGCAGCTGATTAAGCTGGAGTACAACCAAATTAATGATTGACAGTAGCAGTTTTAAAACGTTCTTATCCTTACATGGGGGGTCAGGGATTCCCATACAAACTGGGAATGCGGGAAGCAGTCAGTGTTAGAGGGTTTAGGAAGACCCATAAAATCAGGTTTATTTGGATCTTATTAGCATTTTATATTGTGGTCGTGCGATAAATATACATTAACATATATTGTATTTTGAAATCGAGGTGGATGGATCTAGGGGCGCGGGAAATTTTAAAATTTAAAAAAAAAAAAGGGTGTTTTGGGGGGGGGGGGGGCTGAATATGAACCAATGTAATAAAAAAAGGAATCATAATAATAATTTTTTAAAAAAGTATTCACGTGTATTTTTTAAAATTCATCTCATCCATTTCATAGAAAAAGTATTGACACTTGATTAGGCCTATTACAATTTTAAAAAATAGTTTTTAGGCCTATGTCATGGCATGTAGGCCTATGCCTATATTTTAATAAACTTTAAAAAAAAAATATTTAAAGAATTAGGCCTACAAGCTTTCATCATCAATACGCAGACTTTGACTTAATACTTGCTGGAGAGTATGTCGAGACCTACACATCCGTAGTTGAGTTGTGATTGTGACTGTCTTGAATTTGGGTAGGCCGAGAAGCAGTTAGGGGTTAGTAGTGAGCAGCCTATGAAGAAGTCACTAATCTCAGTCGCTTAGTTGTTGGGTTGCGTCCTGGCTGGTATGAATACTTTTTTCGAAAACGATATTAATATCTCTAATTTAAAGTAGTCCTATTGTTCAAACTAATCCATAAATTACACTTTCAATAAGGCAAATTTGTTTCATTTAGAAAAAAATAATTAGTTAAATTATGCCTATCTTTATTCTTTTTATATTTTTTCCGTTATATTATTATAATTTAAGGGGCCGCGAAAATATGAAATTTTTAACTTTTAACCCACCGTGCTACCACTAAAAATCCTATCCCTTATAACGCTATTAAACATTTCCATTGACAACGCCCTCTAATATAAGACACTGCATTATAAAATACTTCTAGTAAACCCCCTCTCACAAACACCCCAATAAAACAGAATAATTTTTAAAATATTAAAAAATCGCATAGCAATAAATTAAATTTAAAAAATGATGAACTACCTCTTCACGTCAAATGCACGGTCTCTAATTCATACTAATTATTGTAAGTAATGTTTGACAGTTCTTTTCTTTTGAGTGATGGCTTCAGTGTGGATCACTATGGCTTATTAAAATTTAAATTTTGTAAATAATTTGGGTTAAAAATAATTCACGCGAATTTTTTTTAGAAATATATTTTCGACATCAATAACTTGAGAACGATGCGAATATGTATCGGGTTAATGCCGAGGGTAGAAAACATAAGGAAACAAGGGTGAATTCCCTTGTCGTTTTTGGGCATGCGCAATAGAGTCGCTTCCCTGGCAACAATATACCGGACAATTTATTGACAATATGGATGGTGAGGAGGATAAAATTCCAGCTTCGTCGGATTTAATTCCTGATGGTAAAATAATAGCACTTAAATTTATAAATAAATAATTATTTAGGTGGTAGTTAGTTTCAGCTCAAGGTGACAGTTATTTTGTATCTCCTCGTTTTCGCTTTACATTAATAACAATGAGTTCATTGACTCAGACTCAGACTCAACCACATGATTTTAAATTTTATACTCTAATAAACTATACTTTTATTTTTATGATATAGGCCTAATGATTTTATTTATTTTAGTTGATTATTTAAACTTATCTTTTTTTATTTATCATTGTTATTATTATTTTTATGAGAATGAATTGACAATTGAATGATATTGATAGACTTGATTGAATGGCATTAGGCCTATTAATTCAACCCCGTGTAATCCCCCCCCCCCCCCCCCCCCGAACGTATGACTATGATGATAATTGATAACAATGATATATTAATATTATTAATTATATTATGATTATATGAACTAGAATTACTATTTTTTTAATTAGAGGCTAAATGATTAGACTGATTAGAGTAAATTAGAGAGGTTAATGAGTTGATGGCTCAACATTTTCAGGAAATATGTAAATGTAGAAGAAGGTGGAGGCCTGGTTGAGGAAAACCTGAAAACGAAGAAAAAAAAGGATGCATGAAAACAACATTGTTTTTATAATTTTTCTGTTGAACATTGAATTTTAATCCCTTTTTTACAGGTTGTGTCGTAGCCTGCCTTGTCCTTGATTTACATATTTGAAAATATTTACTTATTCCTAACCTGATTGCAGTCTCCTCCTCCACCCCACCCACCTTAACCTTATTATTAATTATCTTTAATACCACTACAAAATTCTAGTAGCACCCTACTCTTCATATAATTAAAAAACATGATAAAAATAGCTAATTATGCCATTATGTGTTACAAATATGTGCCACTGAGGTTGGGGGGTGGGCATACCATTGGCTGAAATAACTCATTTAATTTATGGATGGCCCTATCATAGCCATGGAGTATTTATATTTATATGTGCTAACATTTTCTGGAACTATAAGCCTTTACTTATTTGATTGATATCAGTTGTTAACTAATTAAGGAAGACAATATTCTTTTATTGATACATATGAATGGAAGTATTTTTTTGTTTTGATTACTTGCAGTTATTCATTTTACAAAATTGCTATAAACATTCTGATTAAAATAACAATTTGTAAACTATAACAATTTTATTTTGGACATTTCAAAAACAGCAAACAGTTACAAATAATGTTTTATTTTTTTTAAAGCGATAAATACTTAATAAGAAAATTGAAACTTATCTGCATTCAACTTTAACTATTTAAATATGAATAATTAACAGCAGAAGATTCAGAAGCAGCCAGTGAGGGAGATGTACAAGAAGCTACTGTCACACAGGCTGAGACAGAGGAGTGGGTGGAGCTAGAGACAATTAATGATGATCAACCCCAAGAAATTGAAGAAGCCTATGATGTTCATGAAGAAGGAGAAGGGGAAGGTGCATATGATGTTGCTGAAACTGAAGATGTGCCAGAGGAAGTGGGGGATGCTGGAGAGGAGGATACTCATAAACGAGTGGATGATGAAGTATCTCCACCTACTGTTGAAAAAAGTGAGCATAATTTCTTTTGCTTATTTTCACGTTTAAAGTCAATTTATAATTAATAAAAAAAAAAGCCTTAAGAATCATATTCAATTTTCAGTTCATTATTATTCAGTTGCTTTTGCATAAATTATATTTATGTTCCACTCTGATTTTTAACCATTTAAAAATTTTTAAGGAAGATAAATCTATAAATTTAAATATTTAAAAAACTGTACACTGTGGTTCCATTTAGCTGATCTTAAAGAAGAAACTGGAGATCAGGAAGAACAAGCTGGAGAAGAAAATTCAGAAGCCCTAGAATCCTTAGGAAGCCAAGGAGATATCCCAGAAATGCACACTAAGGAGACAGATGATCAGATAAAAGATGAGGATGCAACAGAGGATGTTACAGGATTTGAGGAACAGTTAAATGAGGAAGTCAAAGAGATTTATGAAGAAGGTATATACAAATTTATATAAAGAAAACTTGATGCAAATCTTTAAAAATGTTAATTTAATTTTCATGGAGAATATGTTTTTTCTTAATTTAATTTAAGATTACATTTTCAATTCACATTGAAGTTATGTTTTTAAATATAGCCCATTTACATGTTAATATTTATGTCTACAGTTGATGGAATACATGAACCTGTTATTGCTGAAGTAGATACAACAGCAGCTGAAGCTTCTAATGCAGGTAGGATTATAGTTGTTTTGTTTTTTCATAATTGGAAGCTTTTTACAAATGTAGGTAAAAGTATTTTGCGCACGGCAGTAATAAGTCTTTTGAACTGTAAAGTAAAACCAAACTGATTTTTAAATAATTTGACATTGTGTTTGCAGAGAACTATAAACTACCTCCAAAGTAGGATGAGATATTTTTAAGGTAAAAAATTGGCGCATAAACCTAAAATCAGGAGGTCTTATTTTTTTAAAAATGTAACTACAAAATAATGAATTGTTCAACCAAAGAATTTTCATAAGCAAAGAATATCCACTCACTTTTATTCTTCATAATTATTTTGTTTAAAATCTGTACAAATTTGAAGTACATATTATTTAATAACCCATGTATCTGTTACAATGCCACAGTTTCTTATGTAATTTTGTCTTTGACAGAAGTCAGCAAGGGTGGTGCAGAAGAAGATGTTGAAGAAAAAAAAGAAGGAGATGAAGGAGAGGAAGCCGCAGAGAAAGATGAGAGCAATAAGGAAGAAGATGAAAAGGAGGGTGCTGAAGAACAAGGAGCTGAAGAAGAGGAGGTTCAAATAAATAAAGAAAGTAAAGATGAAGAGCCTTTGATCCCTGCAGATTTTTACTACAACTTTGAGGACTTTGCATCCAAAGCTATTGTAGCACAAGATTCTGGTCTGCCACTCAACATGCTGGAACTTAAGTAGGTCTAATAACCAGTCCTTATTAGCCGAAACGATTAGCCAAAATTATTTCATGTTTAAGGTCTGGCTATTTACAACAAACAAATTATTTTCAATTACAAATAGATACATTTGTCTTGGTTTGTAAATTTTTTAAACTTAATTTAGTTTCAAGATTCTCATTGGATATATTTGATTGGAGTGTATTCACTAAGGGTGTTAAAACTAATAATGTTAAAATTTTTGGGGTGTTTAAAGAAATAGTATCTTTCTTGGTGCTTAATATTTACATTTTTTTCGTTATTAATTTTTATTCATAATTTTTACCCAACTTTTTTATAACTTAATTTTTTTTAATGCAATTTATAGAAAACTAGTTTATCATGATTCAGGCACTCCTATGGCTATGACTGCAAGCGTAGAAACAACCTTCATCTTCTTGATGAAAACAATGTGATTTTTGCTGCCGGAAATCTGGTTCAAATCCTCAACTTGAAAACAACAGAGCAGAGATATTTGCGCTCCACCAGTGGCTGTGGCATTGGTGCCAT